TTTCCACTTGGTTCTCTTGGTTTTCACTGGAAATAGACTTGATTGTAGAACACGTGTCGCACACTCTGGCTCCATATACATTTCTTTTATTTTGTTTGATGTTTTGGAATTTGCACCTTCTTCAGGTTGTTTGTTGATCTTGAGGAAGGCCCAAAGGCCAAAATGTCATCAAAATAATAATAATGTATCTGTTAGATCCTTTTACCAAGTACCACACTGCCTTAAAAGTCTTTGAGTTTTGTGAGTTGTTGAGTGGGTACAGTGAGGGTTTAGGGTCATGGATTCTTATGGGTCAAAGAATTCGGCGTAACACCAGTAGCAGCCATCAAAAGCATCTGGAAAATAGCTGCATTTCATGTATTTATGATACATTAAATCCAATCAACACCAAACCCATAGAGATTATAATTACTCTACAGGTGCAAAAGAAGTTTTGGTATCTATGGCTAAAAGTTAACTAACTCAAAGCAAAGATTTTTTTGTTTTTCATTTTCAGTTTTCTGTTCACCAACAACAAGCAGTAAAAATTACAACTTTTTTTTTAAAGTTACAAATGTTCCTCATACTGTCTTGCTACTCCTGCCTTGCACCTTGAATGCCTGTGAGGATTAAATGATCCATTTTGTATGCAAACCCACTAAGGTGTGTGCTGGTGCAATCAACATATATTTGACTACAGGTGTACTGGAAAGCATTTACACAAGTACACAGGTACATGGCAAAGTCTTCAGGTTAAAACCTCAGATCTAGTAAAGACTAATAAATCACTTTAGAGATCAAGAAAGTAATTCAAAAGTTAAGTTTTGAAAAGACAGTTTTGGGGGTTCTTGGGTAAAATAAATAAATAAATAAATCCTCCAATCCATAGGTCATTTGTTCCTGCCTCTACTACAACCCACAGAAGTGTTTCCTAAATTAGCAGCCCTACCAGTGGCTGGAGATCAACACAAAAACAACAAATATGACCATTGATGGTTGCTGTTTTAAAAACATGGTAAATTTTGTGAAATGGTTGCAGTTTTGTTGGGTTAAGGCAACAAAACTACTTGGTTAGGTTTGGAAAAAGATCATGGTTTGGGGTAAAATAAGTATGTTTGTTATGTTTCTACATACTTACTTCTTATACATGAGTGTTTTAACTATAGTTTTTGATGCTGCAAGTAACTACCATAGTATAAGGTAGAGCTGCCCTCGACTACAAATTTTCCTAGTCGACCAATAGTCGTCATTTAGGGCCATTAGTCAACTAGTCGCCTGCATGTTTATGATATTAATGTAATTATTAAATGATATATTTTGGGCGGGGCAACACAATGGTTTGAGTTGAAGGTGTGAGAAAGAATAGTATCAGTAACATTGTTGACACTGTGCTACATTACAGAGAAATACAAAACCATACTAATGAACCTTCATTAATATAGGCCTATATTTTATCTACAAGTGCACGTCACACACTGAGCGAGCCGCCTGTTAATGACGCTGTCGGCTAATGGGCATGTAGCTACTTCCATGTTTCAGATGATATGTCATGTTTGTAGTCGACCAATGAAGATGAGTTTACATATCACCTTGGGTTCGTCCTTCACCTTCTCAAAATGATCCCACACTTTGGATTTCCTGCCCGACATGTTATTAACTAGCCTGTGGAATAACCGCAGGTACCAGC